TAGTGTAGATGTAGTTCCCACCCCTGCTCCAGCTGTGCCTTTCAAAGAGCTCTATGTACCAGCCCCAGGCTCTGAGCTCCTGCTCTCTTTTAGGAAACAGTTTGCAGAAGGACCTTACAGTCAGCAGAGAAGATCACATCAGGGTGGGCTTAGCCAAAGGAGCCTTTGAAAAGAGTTTGATGATCAGATGCTATCAAGTATTGTTTTTACCATAGGTAGAAGTGTTAGCCAGGAGCAGAGGACAGTGTACCAGACAAAAGATCACAGAAAGCAGTCGCTGATGAATTCAGCAGGCCCTCTGAGCCATTTCAGCAGCAGTATGTGTGGATTTAGATCTTGTTGTCTACATTAGCTGCTCTCAAGACATTTTCAAAGCTCCTGCCTTCCTCAGTGGAGCAGTTTTACCACAACACACGAGCTTGCACAATTAGTTTCCACTGCTCCTTACAGCTGGCATTACATTACGTGTCCCTACTTTTCAAATGCATTTGGGCTCAGAAATTGAAGTTTTGACCAACCAGGCTAATAACCACTTTTCAAGAATTTTTGTTCCATGTGAATAAGTCTATAGCAAATCAAGCCATGTCCTCTGAAGTACCAATGTTCACAAGTATGCTGGAATAAACATTAACCTGAGCCTCCTGCAAAGTATTTGTTTGTATCATTCAGCACTTCAGCATTCAGCAGGCTGTTGGTCCCAGGAGGCTGCAGAATTGCCAGATATGTGGTGCTCCAGCTCAAGAGGAAGCAGGATTCTCTTCCTTCTACCACAGCAAATGCTGAGGGGCTGGCAGACGGAGCACAACATTCATATTCATTTCAATCTGTCCTTTGATGAAAATCCTTCATTTCCATTTCTAGTAATGGGGTCTCTAAGGTACTGGCATTCTCCTTTGGAGCAGCTTTTCATTTCTCCAGAACAGCAACAGGTACATGGTGTATTTTCTGAGCATCATCCTCTACCATGTGGTCAAAAGACAGTAATCAAATGGATGACAAAACATAACAACACTTACAGGAAGGTCTGCAACTATCTCACTGCATCCTTCTCCAGCCGAAAGCAAGCTTTGGTTACTCAGTCTTCTTTACACATAACTGCAGGTTCTTCTGAAATGGCATTGGCTGTTGCAGAGACAGACAAGATCAGGACTGTCCCCTTGCAGAGGATGAACAACAGACGAGCTGTTTTAGACATTGTATTAGCTTTATTTCTCTCTAGCTTTATTAGCAAGGTATGTCTTCTTTTGGCAGGCCTAGGGCTAAGAAAGCTGTCACCATGTCTCATGGTTTTATAGTCAACAGCTGTTTCTCATGGAGGTGTATGCTGCCAGGCAATCTGGAGGCAAGAATCTGCTCTTTAGAAGCTCTGGACACTATACAAGTTCTTGCTGAATTTCTCAAAAGCTTGCAGAGAGAAATACATCTTGATTACATTTTGTCAATGTTAACTGTACTAGCAGGCTCTGCAACCTCTCCACCCTCCCACAGCTACCTGTGCTCAGATATAGCAGAGCTCCATTGCCTTGGATCAAACTGCAAATGGAAAACAGCTAAGGTGTGAGAGAAAAGAAAAAAAAAGGGGGAAAAAGAAGCCTGATCTGGGGCTGCCCATGCACTCTTCATCCTTCGTTGGTTTGGGGGTTTGAGTTTAAGCTCAGGTCTTTGTATTTGGTCCTTGAGTAACTCAGCGAAGTACAGATTAAACACTTTACAGAAAGCTCTGAAGACTTTAATTTCCTCTGCCATATAAACTTAAACTTCCTTTTCTTGTTACCAAAATCTATTTACGTTTAAGAGGAATGTATTGCTTACAGCAATAAACCTTTAGCACTCACTGGAACCTTTCCACAAATCTTTAAGTTGCTGAGCTTTCTCTTTCTACAAACCGTTTTCTTCTGTGTTTATTCATGCTCAGAAAGGCCCTGCTGTGCCACAACTACGGTGATTACATTATTAAAGAACAAGTAAATTGGAGCTCTAAATTATAAACAGGAAGTACAACTAATTGGAGTGATCTTTGATTTTAGTCTGGTTAATAAAAAACCAACCAGTTATCTTCCACAACTCCAAGGTACAGTTTACAACATTTTTGTAAACTCCCCAAATGCACTGTTTTACAAGGAAATTGCAGAGCCTTATCCCTGGTTTTGTCTTCAACACTGCTTACCAAATAAAAGAACTGTGGTGATCTGCTGCAATAACAAGCGAACAAGACAGGTGTTTTGAGCAAGGTTGCTGATGATACTAAATTGGGAGGAGCTGTTGACCGTGTCAAGGTAAAGAGGCCTTGCAGAGATTGAGGCAAATGAGAGCTGGTGAATCACCAACTGCATGGAGTTTAACACGAGCAAGTGCTGGATTCTGCATTAGGAAGGGGCAGGCCTGGGTACACATACAGGCTGGGGGATGAGACACCACAGAGCAGTCCCACTATACTTAAATCATCTTCCCACACAACCCCATCAGAGAATCCTGCTATTTCTTTCCAATGATTTAAACTGCAGCACAAAGGTGACTTTTTCAAAATTCCCTCAGCCCCAGGTTATCCAGTGCCCATTTTAATGACACACATGGGTGAATTCTTTGTACAATAACAATCAGCACACAATAACAGCACAAACAAACAACAACCAAACAAGCACACTCGATGACAATTATCACATTTAATATTTACCTTGGGGGGGGGGACCTTAACCTCTTACCCAAGTTCTCAGCTCTACCCTGCACAACTTTCATTACATCTGTCAGGCAAGAAACCAAAATAAACCAAAAGGGGAAATGAACCATCACCTGATTTGTTAGCCCTACTATGCACAACTTTCATTACATCTGATGGACAGGCAACCAAACCAAACCAAACCAGGGGAATCTAATCCCACAGGGGCTTTAATCCCTTACTTGGGTTCTTAGCACTGTACTGTGCAACTCTTATTACATCTGACAGGCAGGCAACCAAAATAAAATAATAATAAAAGAATGCTTTAATACTCACTAGTCAGTAGTTTTGTCTGGAGGGCTCTTCAGCCTGGGGATCAAGGTCCTCCCAAGTACACTTCAGTGCCAGATGAGATTCTGTGAACTCTGGAACTGTCGAGGCTTACCCCATCTGGGGTGCCAAACTGATGCTGTAAATCAATCTGTTATGAAACTCTCTAAGAATCAAGTTGGAGTGTCAGAAAGCAAGCACTCCTTATTTTCAGTGCTGAACGTATGGGGATTGCACTCCACCTATCATGCATACCTTGCACAAAAGATCTTCAGCTTATATACATTACTTGCATCACACATGCTGAGGTTTTCTTGGAGGTACATACATATTCAACACTCGCTTTCACAACTAACTGATTCCAAGCAGAATTATCCTTATTTATTTGGTACAAAGACTTAACAGAACTCTCCTTATTTGCTTGGTACAAAGACTAAGGAGAATTTTCCTTTATCTACTCAGCACAAAGACACAACTCTTCCCATTATCCAAGCAAACTTCAGGGCATTCCATCAAGGAATACGAGCAAACTTAACAATCTCGTTACAGCTCATATTAAGGTGGGGTATCAGGAAGGATTTCTTCACGCAGAGGAACAGGCTCCCAGGGCAGTGGGCACAGCCCCAAGCTGCCAGAGTTCAAGAAGTATCTGGACATCACCCTCAGACATATGGTCTGATTTCCAAGTGATGCTGTGTGGAGCCAGGGGTTGGACTCAATGTGCTGCCAAACAAACCCTTAAGACCAATGTGGTATTAAGATGCAGCCGTTCTTTAATATAGCACTGGATGCACAACGGGATCCTTCCACCTAATCATAGAATCACCAAGGTTGGAAAAGACCTCCAAGATCATCCAGTCTACCTATGACCAATATTTCCCATTAAACCATGTCCCTCAGTACAACATGTTTCTTGTACACCTCCAGGGACAGTGACTCAACCACCTCCCTGGGCAACCCATTCCAGAGCATAACCATTCTTTCTGAGAATAAATTTTTCCTATCATCCAACCTGAATCTTACCTGGTGCAACTTGAGGCCATTCCCTTTAGCCTTACTGCTAGTTATGAGGAAGAAGAGGCCAACCTCCATCTCACCACAACCTCAAATCAGGGAGTTGTAGGGAGCAATAAGGTCTCTTCTGAGCCTCCTCTTCTCTGGAATGAACCATCCCACTTCCCTCAGCCTCTCCTTATAAGACTTGTGCTCCAGACCCTTCACCATGCACCCTAACAGAACAACAGCACATCCCTTATAATACATTTGGGTACATTTGGGTACAGTACCTCTGTGTGCTTGGAGAGAGGTCTCCAGCACACATGAGACCTCAACCACCTTTCCCATTCACTCACGTTTTTGTTAGTTAACAATCTCTCTTTTGGCAGGCTAGACAGACATGCTGATTTTCAAGGTGCTCCTAAAAGACAATATTAGCCACACCACCAACAGACGATCCTTGTGGAACTCGGGATGTTCTATGATTTTATATACTCATACAGAACGTTCCATATCAAGTTCTAAAGTTTCCCCTCTACCTGTTCCACACCAAGTGGAAGAACCTCACTGTACCAAGTGGTTGACTTTTAAAGGCCAGGAGCTATAAGAGAGATCATAGATACATAAAAATATCCCCAAATAAGCTAGCTTTCCACAGCAAGCTATTTAGGTTAAACTAAACCCCACTCTATGGATTAAGCCAACACGCTGCAACCTACAGCTCCGTCGGTGCTTGGAGCCCATCCCTGGACCTTGTGCATCCCCAGGGGCAGGGCACCACCAGCCCCCCGGGAACCCGTGCCAGGGCTTCACTACCCTTATTGCACGAGACTTTTTCCTTATATCCAACCTAAATCTCCCCTCTTTTAGTTTGAAACCCTTTCCCCCTGTCCTATCACAACAGACCCTGCTAACGAGCCTGTCCCCTTCCTTCCCTTCAAGGAAAGACTGGATGTGGTGTTGAGGGACATGGTTTAGTGGGAGCTATTGGTAATAGGTGAACGGTTGGACTGGATGATCTTTTAGGTCTTTTCCAACCTTGGTGATTCTATGATTGATTCTATGATTCCCACAGCCTCCCTTTAGCTAGAGACAGGCTGCTCCCAGATCTGCCTGGAGCTCTTTTCCCTCAGGAGAACCCCTCCCCGCTTCTCAGCGTCCGGCAGAGACTCCAGCAGGACCAGCCCTCCTGATGTACGGTTTATATTCAAACACACTGACAGCGACCCAGCGGGGTGCCGTGCCGTGCCCCGTTCCGCCCCGCCCCGCCCGGGCAGGCTGCTCTGCTGGCCGGGCGCTGAGCAGAGTGACAGGGAGAGCGGCAGCGCTCGGCATGGCGCAGTACGCGAGGGGCGCCGCGGCCGTGGCCGTCATCCGGCTCCGCAACCCGCCGGTCAACGCGCTGAGGTAACGGCGGCGCCGCCCGCCATTTTGTAAGGCGGGAACGGCACGGCTGGGGCTCCGCTCGATTAGCGGCTCTGAGGGCTTTCCTCTGAGGGCACGAGGGGGTGCGGCCGTGGCACTGCGCTTGTCAGTTCGGGTGGCTCCGAGGCTTAGAGCTTAGATATCGCTTTGCCATAACCGCGCTGAGCTCCTTCGTGATTTGTGCTCCTTGTTATAATGTCTAGAGGGTTTTTTTCCCCTCGGGATAAATGCCAGGTTCGTGGCTGTGTGCTTTCTGCCATCTCCCTTGGAATCTCTCGTCAAACTCGGCACATTCCTTGTCACTTACGCCGTGAAGTAGCTCACAGCGTTAGCTCAGCTCTTCTATTCCTCAGTTCCTGCGCAGTTTAGTTTGCAGGTGGAAATCGGCTTTCCCTCCACGGTTTGCTGCTTCTCACGTTGGCAGATAGCTGTGCTTCCAAGTGCGCACAGGGGTTGGGGCAAAGGGCTGTGCGAGCAGAGGGCACGGCTCGGCAGGACGCACCGGCAGCCAGCCGCGGTGTCAGAATGCAGGCTGCGCACGTGCCTTTAGAAGCGATGCAGGCATTGACCTCCCAGTGCTACACCTGATGAAGAAGGTGATCTCAGACCAGCTGGGGACAGGCAGCCAAGCAGAACCCCTGAAGTTGTGGTTTTCCATCTTTCAGAAGGGATACACACGTGTTGTTTGGTTTGTGTAATTTGCTTTGTAAGCAGCCATGCTGTAAGAGTGACCGTAGCACTCGTTCCATTTGTTCTCATAAGGCAAAACGTCCACTGCAGTCACACACAGCTCCTAAAGCAGAAAGTTTGTTAAAAAGAAGCTGAGGGGCATGTATGAGCATGAACAGGAAACACAAGCTGCTGCCCTTACTGTGACAAGTTGCATTGCTCCAGCTGCCTGCAATCACTCCTTCACTGCAATGTTTGAGAGCACAGAAAGACCCTTTTTATGTATTTGGATAATTGGAATGAGAAAGCAAATTAGGAGTAACTTGACATGCAGCGGACGTGTAGGACTCCTAGAATGTCTCTTGGATCTCCTCTGGCCAAGAGCAGGCTTGGAACACAGGCAGGCTGTGTCCAGTTTTCTGTCCCTGCCATGGAAGTCAGCAAGCGCTCCAGCACACTGCTGTGACCTGGATCTGGTTCTCACAGCCTTGCTGTGCTGTGCTGCTGCTTGTGGGGCTGGACTGAGCAGCCTTGGGGCTGAGCACCCACCTGGTTCTTGGAGCTGCTTTCAGCCAGTCTAGCTCTCTGCATCTGCTCCTTGCGCAATTGCAAAGCATGAGTGAGGACAGGAATCTGCACAGCGTGGGTTTAAATCAGTTAAGGTGCTGTGAAACTTCAGCTTGCAACATAGGAGGCAGCAGGACAGGTAGATGAGATCAGTCTAACAGCTGGCTGGCTGAGGCAGCGAACACAGCACATATGCAGCTGGAGTCTGGTGCAGGCTCTTCGACTCACCTGTAGCCAGTAACAGAAGGAAAGTCTGGATGTTATGGGCTTCTAATTTATCTCCTGATTTACGAAGAATTGCTGAATTTGCAAGGAGCAAGTGTGACAGCTACACAGAGCTCAGCTTTAACCAGGCTTGCACCATTTGTTTAGCAATTGGAGTAAAACCTAGTTTAGCAGGATCAACAGTTGTTTCGTAATGGCAGCTTTGAGCTGAGACCTGGCTATAGCTATGGAAGGTAGAGGGCGCTATGATCCTTGCGTGTACTTTCTGCTCCTGCGTGTTTTAGTTACTCGTCTGTAGGGGAGCAGGCTTGTGATTGCTGTTTGAGATGTCTGTCTGTGTAGGTGATAGCAGGCAGAGAAAGTTACAGACAGGGGCCGTGTCCCGCAGTCCTGACAATTTAATTTCACAGCAGGCACAGATGCTTTTTAAAAGGCTGATGTGCTTTTCCTGCTCTGCTGTGCTCCAGCCTCACCTCTCTCTCCCCATTAGACGTGATGCTCAGCACCATTAGCCCAGCTCCCTTGCCATCGCACCAGCCATTAGCACTTCAGAAGTCACTGGTGGGTAGGAATTTGCTTTTTGCTGTCTGACAGCATCTGCTGCTGTGCAAGTACCTCCTAGGCAGTGCTTTCCTGAGGAATATATGCTGACTTGTGAGGCTGGCAGCAAATTTGGTTCCCACACAGACTCTCTTCAAGCTAATCCATCTCTCCACCAACAGAGCTGGCGTGTACCAAACATATTTTTGTTTTTTTTTCTCCTGGTTTACAGAGGTTTAACTTCCAGAGGCCTGCAGTCCTAATCATCTGTGAGACCACAGCTTAGAGAGGAGGCACTTGGATGTGCAAGGAACTGGAAGTTTGGGGGACAGACAGACAAAACTAACAAGAGAAAGGATCAGCTATAGCCTGTGAGCAGAGGTGGGCTGCTGGCACTGCGTGGCTCCATGGCACACTCAGGAAAAAAGGTTTTAAGAAGTGGAAAGCTTACTCAGATGTGAATAAGAAAGCCTGTAAAACATGACAGGGGAGATGTAAGCTGGAAATTAAGAGGATTAAAAATATAAAGAATGCATTGCAAAGCACGCTAAAAACAAAAGGGGGAAAAAGCAGGGGAAAAAAAAAAACACCAAAAAACAAATCTCTGTCAGTTACAGTTCAGGAAAGGGATCTTTACCACTGATAGATTTTTGAGATCACCAGCTCAGTGTGTTTGGACAGCCCAAAGAACCTATAAAACGCTGGGTGTCACCAGCACACATGCTGAGAACAGAAGAGAGGGCACCATTCCTCTATGATAAAAAAAAAACTATAGGACTTCTGAAGTACTGCCTGTAGTTCTGGACTATGCATTTGCAGAAGGACACAGGGACAATCTGGAAGGGGGCAACCAAAACTGAGAGGCAAGAGCAGTGCATTAAGAAAGCATGCTGAGGGGTCGAGAGTCACCAGGTTGGAGGGGAAAGGCTGTAGGAGAATAAGGGCAAAGTTTATGAAATTCTAAAGAAGGTAAATAAATTGGAGGTCTATTTCTGATTACAAAATCCTGCAGTAGCTGATCTAGGGGCATTTGATTACACTGGTAGATTGTTTTTAAAGAGATCATACAAAGCTTGATGCCACAGGAGCCTGTGGAGGCAGATGGGTTGGCAGGATCAAAGATTAGACAAATTCATGAGCAGCAGATCTGTAAGGGATGCTAAATGAGTGTATGTAGATACATACCAGACCATCCCTCATGCAGTGACTGTGGATGTGAATGTTGGGGGAAATACAAAGGGGAGGGACCAGACCTGCACGATGCACATAAGCATTTCCTATTGTTAGATTGCAGCCTGGCCGAGATAATTTCCAGGATTTCCTTAAGCTACTTTCCTTTATCTTTAAATTTGTGTTTACAAATCCTTGAAAAAAAAGAAAAAGAAAAATTTTAAAGCCTTGTTACAAACCCAGCACATCATTGCCATGATGGGTAGAATTTTGTGCAAGGGAGAAATAACCTGGTGTGGTCAGCCCCAAGAATAGCCTGTCCTGGGGAGCACACTTACCCACCCAGCATGCTGCTGAGATACATAGCACTGAGGTACTTCGTCAGGATGACTTTCCTTGCAGTCAGAACAGTATACATGGCAGAACTGACTTCATGGAATTAAGTGCTGATTGGAATGCATCCAGTGAATTTCTCATTGTTACTGTTAAATGAATGATACTGTCGCACTGTAATGAAATACTTATGCAAATGAGAGTGACTTTTTGTCTCTTTCATGCTCTAGCTGTTTGAAGTTGTGATGCTCTTGAGTATTTTTACAATTTTACTGTCGTGCATTTTACTGTTATTTCCTTCATGGAAAATGACATCTTTTAGTATCAGCTACAGCATGCCACGCAGCTCACACTGGGCTGTGACATGTCCTGGGACAGGCACGTTGCTCAAGGGAAGGACAACAGGAAGTTTCCAGAAGTCCAGGTGGTGATTTCTCCTGTTCATCCCACAAGAAATTCACCCTGGAAGAAAGCTGTATAAAGGGAAAAGAAATATTTTTGCAAGTAGTCACATAGCAAAACCAATTATGTGGTATTAATACAGATAACATGGGCAGCTTGGATGACAAATTTTTCTTTTGGCAGGAGGGTGTTGCTGTAAGTGCTATGACACTAAGGGCTTATAAATAATTTCCTATGAAAAATCCAGAACCTTTTCATCTGGAACAGACTCCTTCTATTGGTATTTTGCAACTGCTGATCACACAGCTACTGTAAGCACAGAACCATTGGATTGCTTCCTGTGACAGAATTGTTGTTTTTTTTCTACACAATATTTTCAAATCAATAACTTCATATCTGTTCAAAATCCTGTTGCATACTTTTTTTCTCCTCTTGGCACAGGTCAGCAGTGATTGGCTTGTTGGATTTTGGCACTTTCTTTGAAGTAAGAGGGAGGCTAATGAATGTTCAGCAGAGAGGTGGTGGCAGAAGATGAACTGGAGGACAGACTTACTGGATTCACTGCTTATTTTCACTGAGCCACTTTGTGTTGGTGGACAAGTGATATAGTTGGTTGTTAGCCACTGAGTCTCTAATTTATTTCAGTTTGACAGTTCTCCAGGCATTAGAGGATGGACTGAAAAGAGCAGACGCAGATCCTTCAGTGAAAGCTGTTACAATCTGTGGCGAAAATGGGAAGTTCAGTGCAGGTAAGACATTCCTTCAAACAGTATGAGAAAAAGAGGAAAAAAACTCTGCCCATGTAGCACTAACAACAAAATGCCACCAATTCTGATGTGGCTGAAAATAGCTGCAAAACAATGGACATTTCCCTACTGTCCCAGTCTGATGTGGACACATCACAGATTGGATGGTTCAGGCAAGAAACATGCTAGTAGATTCATGCTGAAACTGGGGACAACTTCTAATCTTCCTATCTTCCTGATATGCTGTGTCTCCTTGCTTTCCATGACGTTGTATAAAATCTCAGGACCAAAAATTAGCCAATTATATAGAACCATCCTTGGATGGGGCAGTTGTAAGAGATTTCCAGTTGTAGAGATCTGTGAAACTCCAAATTTCTGTGGAGTTTGACATTCCCTGTAAGAAGCAATTCAACTTCTCCAGACTTAACTTTTTTTATTTTTTAAATAAACATCTTTGCAAATTACTGTATTAACTGCATGATCATTACAGTTACGTATCTTCTATTTTGCCATCTTCTTAGTACTCTGAATATGCTTAAGGAGCCTGGGTTTCTTGCAGCTGTTCTCAAGAGGTCACTGCCTGTTAACATGCCAGCAGCATGTTCTGTCAGACCTCAGTCATCAGCAAGTGGTGACGTTTAATGGCACCAAGGGAGGAGTTGTTCCACTCACTGCCTCCTCCACTAATTCCTTTTCATCTTTGTGCTTCCACAGGTGCTGATATTCGAGGATTTTCTTCTCCAAAGAAACAGGGTCTTGGCTTGGGCCCCATAGTTTCTCTCATTGAAAGGAGCGAGAAGCCTGTTGTGGCTGCCATTGAAGGCATTGCTCTGGGAGGAGGCCTGGAGGTGGCACTTGGCTGTCACTATCGTATCGCACACATGCAGGTAACACAGTGAACTAGAGAAGTTGGTGGGAGCATCTGGAACCTGTGGCCATGTACAGAGTGGGAGGCTGCTCCTGAAGAGCAGTTGAACAGAAGCTGAGCAGTGTGTCTTTCCTAATTAGAAACTTCAGAATCTGAGTGTTAATTTGCACTCAGTCTCAGTAGTCGTTATCAGAATTGTGTAGCTGGCTCACGCAGCATGACTTTCTTATTTTTCTCCCCAGCCACAGAAATTTAGCATTTCTTTCTGCTAGTGGCCTAATTTCAGTAGGTAGTTGAAACTCAGCTAGCACAGAGCGCTTACAATTTGATTCCTCATGGGCTGTTTCCTCAGGGTGCACTCTAACCAACAGACAGCTTCCCCTCCTCCACATTTAGGTCTTTCAAAATAATCTTTTTTTATTTCTCTCAAATACCTTCCTTCAGGATTGCCCAACTGTCTTTTAGCAGCACCTTATCTCCTTACAGAGACTCTTCCCTGACAGGAGTATCTCCTCACATTTTCAGAGTGAATCACTCACACCTGACAGTGTGGGCTGCTATAACACAATGAAGAGGCACTTTATATACCCTGCACATGACCTAAGATAGGTGCCCAAAGTAGAGGTCTTAAAATGTCTCCACATCTCTTAAGAGCTCAATTAGAAACATACAATATAAAATTAAAAAAAAAAAAACATGCTGAATAAATTTTTAAGTGAAGATAGGAGCTGTCACTGGCTTCTTTACCATAACTCTAGTAAATCTCAAGTGCACCAAGAAGCACCTAAGCATTTTTGAAGGTCAGTTAGTGAAGAGTTCAGTATGTGTTTTCCTGCAATGAATTTCTCATAAATAGGGAGAGAGCAGGTCAGAGACACTGACAACTGTTTGCCCTCTTGAGCTGTGCAGCTGGAAGCATTGTTTTGTACATGTTATGGTCTCCATCAATCTCCAGCATAGTGCTCCTACCTATACATCCACTGATGGATGATACCTCTTCTGCTCCTGTACATAAGTTCTTGAAAAAGTCAAGTGGGCTTCTGAGTTAAACATCTTATACAGAAAAAAAAAGCAGTGTATGATCAAAGAATATTAAGATAGTATATAATCAAGGAATGTTGTATAATCAAATAATATTAAGATGTTATAATAATGCAATAAACAAGAGAGTTAGGCAAAGCAAGACAAAGAGAATAGATAGGATGCTTACCCATATTGTGGGCTCGCTCTGGAAACTCCAATGGAGTGGATCTTCAGAAGAGAGATCCTTCCCCACTGGTAGTCAGCTCTTAAATGGGTCTAGGAGAGGTGGAGCTAGGCTCCACCCCTTCCTGCAGCACAGGTGAATTGCTTTCACCTGTGCTCCCCTGGCTGACACTCACCTCAGGTGATTAATCAGAGGTTCAGGCCATGACTCAGCAGTTCCCATACAAGCAGAAATTAGGATTTTGTGTAATAGTTCTTCGAGGATTCCTAAAGAATCAGTACATGAATCAGGTCTAATTGTCTTTGTTCTGCTCAGCTCCTAATTATTGATCTTGTTAATCAGGTTTGTTGTTGAATTTGACTTTGGTTTAGGCACGGATGGGTTTACCAGAAGTCACAATTGGGTTGCTTCCAGGTGCTGAAGGCACTCAGCGGCTCCCCAGACTGATTGGGGTTCCTGCTGCCCTGGATATAATTACTACAGGTAAAGTACTGTGCCATGCTCCATATATAAGGATGACAGCAAGTCATGCCATTGCTTTTGTCTAATGAATCATAATGTTTGTTTGGACATAGCTGCACGAGTTGAAATTCAGCTTGATTCCTCTAAGGATTCACTAGGAAAGGGACACGTGCCCTTCTGAGGCATATAGTTAGTTATGCACTTGATACTTGAGGCCAGCTACACATAAGTCATTTGATCAGATTGAAAAAGACTGAAATCACGTGTAATGCCCCAGCTGTAGTTACCTTATTTCTCTTTTCATCGTAGGAAGACACATTTCTGCAACTGAAGCACTGAAGCTGGGCTTGGTTGATGAAGTTGTGGAAGAGAATACAGTTGAAGCAGCAATCCGTTTGGCAAACGAGTTGATTGGTAAGGAAAGAAATTGTAGCAATGCCAAGAAATAATTGGTGTGGCTGAAGAGAATTAGAACAAAACCCATTAGCTTGTTCCAGTCTTCACGTTCCATTTGTTGGGTTTTGGCATCCACATGAACTAGAATGAACAGCAGAGTTTGTTTTCTGTTGAGTGAAAGTGAAAAAACTCAGATGCTGGAGAGCTGCAGAAATTTTAAGTGAAGAGAAAAAAAAATACAGAGTCCTCATGCTTCTGTAATTTTATATCCATGCTTTTCTGGACTACTGCACTTAACTGATTTTAGAGAGTTGCGCTCTTTCTATACAGAGTTTTGGATGACAGCTGGCATTTGTGTAGTCTGGTTGCACCATCAATAACGGCTAATTGAAAATAACGTTCTCCCTCCCTCTAGTGGAGGGACTGGCACATCCTCAGCCAAACTCAGTCATTTGTGAGTAACTGTTACCCTTTAGCTGCTTCATGAGAAAATGGACTACAGAGATGGGGGAGACGTGCAGAGAGATTTCTCCACCTTAGAAGTAATGAAATCAAATTCACAGGATTTAGCACAGAAAGAGGATCATTCACAGACCAGCCTAAAAAATATCACCTTGAGAGAAAACAGAACATTTTCCCACCAACTTTGAGATGGACCATTGTCTCCAGACAGAATTAGATGTGGAATCCTTTCAGAAGATGCACGCAAGGAAGGAGGAAAACAACAACAACTCAACACTACCACCCATCTTCTCTGCTCACTTGGTCTTTACAGGCAGTGCTTTTCCAAACTGGAGTGCTCCTGCAACAATTTCCACTACAAACAAGAACAGTTTTCCTTCTCTGTAAGAGTACTTCTCTCACTGTAGAAGCTGAAGCAGCCTCAGCTTTGTCCTGGATGACAATGCATTATATTTTTAACATATCTCAGTGAATGCACTATTCTTCAAAATTAGTATCATAGCTGCGATGTGGGATTTACCAGATAAGTGCAAAAGGGTGTTCTTTGTCTGGGTCTTCTGTAACACTCATCCTTCTCGTTGTATTCATGCTACATTCTTCATTTTTAGTGCAGAACTGTTGATATAAGCAATCCTTTTCTTTCCCCATATCTAATTAGACTGTTTAAATATAAAACTTTAGAAAGGTAGGTAACATACTTCCATACTGCTTAAGAAAAGCTGAGGCACTCCCTGATCTTGTCTGTTTTGAATGATAATTCACTGCTACTTTCCTAGACAAATTAACCCAAAGTTTTCCGTTTAATGTACTCTCTGGGTTATGAATGACATCTTGTGTAAGATCTACACCAATATGATGGCAGAGGCAGCATATCATCAAATGAATAACAGATACATTGCTAGATGTAGCAAACTGGCAAGCATCCTGGTTTTCAACAAATGCTATGTGAAACTGGGTGAATTTTAGACATTTGTAAGCTTATTTCTTCTGTGATGGCATGGTGCAGCAAATGAGAATTGCAAAATCAGCTCGACTTTAGATGAGAACCTCAGGAATGAATCCCTGAATGCACTATGCCTCAGTGTAACTTGCTTTCTGGAGCTTACATCCATGTTCTGGAGCTTCACTTCCATAGGAAAGTGCCACTAGCAAGAAGGGTTGAGAACTGCATAAGCATACAAAGATCTTATCTGGATATCCAGCAAGTAACCTGTCTGTTCCAGTACTGCTCATTACTTGTAGTAGCTTTTCTGTTTCTTGCACCAGTGACAAATGAATAGTACTACTGAAGGTATTTCACATCACACTATATACCAGCTCCAACAGAACTTCCAAAAAACATGCTTTCAGACTTCCTCCAAATGCTCTACTGGCAGTATATTCTTTAGCAGTGAAAGCACTGGAGGCACAGTTCACCTTTGTGTCTCTCCTACTTGGATAACTCATCTTTAAACTTTACAGAACATCATGAGAAGTTTTGACACTCCATTTAGTCTCTGGTGACAGAATGAGGTACCCAGAGTCCACATGTTCTTCTTGAGTCATTTCTGATGTTGGCCTTTGCATAACCTTAAAATCTTCTGCCGTACAAGAGCAAACCAACACTTTCAGTTCTGTACCTCAATCACTAACTTGGGGCTGCAGAAGAGATATGACAGTCTTGTGTAGCTGGCCTGGTTTTTGTTCACAGTGAGCTATGCTTTCAGTGAACATGTTTCAGGCAACCTTAAAGACAGAAGTGGAATTATATAATGTAACAAGTGCACTTTGTATGGAGTGCAGCATTTTATTTCGGAGGGTTTCTGTTGTTTTTTAAAATTGAGGTTAACAACTGCTGGCTTCTTACAGAACAGTTTGGTTAAGTAACTCATTGTCACCGCTGGAATTTTTGCTTTTAGCTAGGAAGAGCTGTACTGCAGGATCCAGCTCAAGGAGCTAATTAAGATAATTCCTCTGAAGCTTTCTCAGTGCTGCAGCTGTGGCACCTCACAGCAAGAAACCAGCCTCAAATGAGTGGCTGTATGGAAGCAGGGATCTTTGTTTCTATATGTAGGTGACAGAGCTACCTTTATGGCAGTTATGCTTGGACAGCATCTCCATCCATAAATTTTTATGGATAATATCTTAAGAACGAGCACCTTCTGAACAGCTCTGAATTAATGCCTGTAGGAGTACACACAAAGGCAATTAAGATCTCTTATTTTTAGGCAAGAATAGACTCAGAAGTGAGTGTGTTCCCTTCCTTCAGAAGAAATGGCCTCTTCAGGCAAAAGAAAGCATTTTCACCTCTGAAAGAGAAACGGATAGGAGCTACATCCTTGGAGACAAGAAGAGTGTTCTTTCATTAAACCTGTTTGATAATCACTGTACTAATTCAAAGCTGCATTGCATAATTTGTCCACCTGATGGCATCACAAAATTGAAAAATTGCTGTAATTGTTTGCAGCTTATACTGCCCACTTCTGCTGGCCTTCCCGGGCTGGAGGAGAAAATGGCAGCTGATCCTCTGCATGGCTGACTTCTTCAGAGCTCCCCTTTTATAATCATCTCTTCTTCCTTTATCTTCTTCGGGGCACAAGAGTATCCATGGTTTGCATCAAAGAGCCAAGCAACATCAGTTCAATTTAGATTAGTTCAGACCCCACAGGTATTAAACTCCACGTGGAAAGAGGATTATGAGTTTGACTGTAGACCAACAGCAATAACTGTGTGGGATGCAGGTATTTCTTCTGAGGCTCATGAAACCCACAGGAGTAACATTACTGTTCATGTAGTAATTGCATGCCTTAAATGAAGACTGCTGGAGAAAAGCTTTCATTTACAGTTGTAAGGACCTTTATTCTATCTCTGGGAAGATGTACACTATATGGGTATTTGAATCTCTCTTCAGGGCTTATCATTCTGGCTAATATCTTCCATAGACAGAAGGTCTAATAAAGTGCTCCTTTGAGACAACCAGAGTATAATAATAAAATCTGATAGGAGCCATACTTGTTTCTAACTGACGTGAAACTGCTGCTAGCCTGAGAAGCATGGGACCACTTTCAGCTTCACTTCCTAGACATGCAAAGCAGTTCGCTGCAGTAAACTGGTTGTTGGGCTAACTCGCCTCTTGTATCTGAAGTCCAGTAATATCCCTAGAGTTCACCACTCTGGAATACTTTTTTTTTTTTTTCTTTAAATAGCACAATTTTTGATACTGCAGGTTTACCGTTCCTTTTTCTGATAGAGGTTTTATGGATTTGATCCATCCTTCCTGCTACCTGGACTACAAACTCTAATGAAAACAAAGTAGATCTGTGCTAGATTTTGTATATAGATACCACTTTTTCCTGTACCTTGATATCTGATGTTGTTCATCATGCTCCTGCTTCTTTGATTTCAAAAAAAAAAAAAAACAAGCTGTAGGTATCCTGCACAAGTTTAGACTCGCATCATTCTTTCCTGTTCATAAAGAACTACATGGAGGTACTACAGAAATACTTCATTAAATAAGAGTTTTAATACAGGATCCTGAAGACAGTAACTATCTCATGTTCTCCCTCAATGTTTCTACTTACAAATACTGCTTCATCTGAAGACCATGCTTAAAGGCTCTCAGTAGTCTCATCACCACATCAGATGTGTGTGAAGTCTCTCGATCTGCTCAGTTTTCAGTGGCCTTCCAGCCATCAGATGTGCTTTCTGGGACAAACCCAACATTTCCTTTTCAGAAAAGATCAACCTGACTGGATAAAGAGCATCCTCATGTTAAAAGCATGCATTTTGGGAAGACAAGGGGTTCAAAAATAAACATCGTCCTTACTAAAATCCTGCAGTACTGACAGCAAATATAGGTTGGATCTGCCAACGGGGAAACATTTTCAGTTTACTTTACAAGGAGAGTTACTTAGTGTTAATCTTTCTGTCTGTTCTACAGAAGCCTTAATTAAAAAGTCTGAACTCTGAAGACAGTTGTTTCAAGAAATCAGTACTATCTCATCATGTTTGTTTGACTTAAGAGACCTAGAGACAGGCTGTGTTCTTCAGGCAACTACAATTGTGGTACTGCTATTATTCCCATTTTTCCTGTGTATGCTGGGGCACCAGATTTCCTGCTCCTGGGTCTTCTGCTGACGCACTGGCTTTTTAAGAGGAAGAGAAAGGAGAGCTGGATACAATATGCCACTTTTGAAAGAATTATGCTCCTATGGCAGAGCTTGTAACAGGAGCCAGAGCAATGAGGCTACATGCCAGAGAGCTTCTCAGCTCTGGGCTCCCATCACAATGGGCCCACCTACCATCCTGCTTTGTTGGTGATCCTGGACACCTCAGGGAATAGTGCTGCAGCACTCAGCACCATAACATTGCCTCACTGTTAGATAAGAACCTGGATGTGGCTATAACTTTTTTATGCAGTTTTGGAATATTGAGGAGATACATCCTGAATTTCCAATCTTGTTCCACCATGGTTTTTACTGAGACAAGCTGCCATTAAGAATACAAGAAATAGCCTGAATACAGATAGATCATAGATCTCCCAGCAGGCACTGAGGCTTATAATTCTGAAAAGGACAGAGAGGATTTCAGTGTCTGAAATGTAACTAACTTCTCTCAATTAAAAATCCTTTCTAGGTATTACCATAGCAACCTCTGCCTGTAATGAGGCTCGTGTATTTGTGTGACTGCTTGATTCACCCCTTGCTGACACAGAAGCATGAACTCTTCCTTGTTATTCATTTGCTCCCCAACTCACGCTGTGTGAGCCATCCTCTTGGCTAGTCCCACAGGGAACAGAGGGAATCCTGCTGTCAGGGAAAAATTAAAATCAGAGTGTATTTCCCAGTCATTCATATAAATGCCTGGGTCAGGACCCTGACTAGAATGCATCTGGCTAACAATGAGTACTAAGCAGTACTGAGGGAAAACTCCAGTATTGAAGCTTATAGAAAAAATAGCCTTATGAATGTGACAGTTGGGACTGTGGAATTAGAACTGAAGAAGTCAAGCCACTCTTTAGCTGAGAAAAGGAGAGAATTATGTCTTTGAAATTGAAATCTTAGTTCACTGAATTCTGGGAAGAAGGGTCTTGAAAAATTGCCATTGTCAGGGCAAACAAAGCTGAAGGGAAATGCCAGACACTTTAATATTAGACCCAGATCATTGTGCTATGCAAGCCCCTAGTAGTTCAGTAGACTTAGAAGGAGGAGGAACAAGAATAGGACTGCATTATACCTTCTATGTAGGAACAGGTGAAAACCCATAGTCCTCCAGGAAATGTGGATGTTTTGTTCTCTAACTTCCATTTTTCTACCCACAGGCCAGCCCTTGGGACACCGCAGGCTCAGCCTGAAGCCAGTCCCCAAATTGCCCAACATGGAAGAGTTTCTCACCGAGGCTCTTGTGAAGGTGAAGAAACGGGCCCAAGGGTGCCTGGCACCAGAGCTGTGCTTCCAAGCAATCAAAGCTGCCACAGAGCAGCCATTTGCAGATGGAGTCCGGAAGGAGAGAGAGCTGTTTAACATCCTGCTGACTTCAGGCCAGGCCAAAGCACTGCAGTATGCTTTCTTTGCAGAGAGAGCAGTGGAGAAGTGGACAACACCCAGTGGAGCTTCATGGAAAAGTGCTTCCCCTCAGCCCATCCGCAAAGCAGCTGTGATAGGTAAGGGAGGAAAAGCCATTTTGTTTCCTGAACAGTTAACAGCAGAGCCCCTTTCAGGGAGTAAGATGATGCTTTACTCATGGCAGAAAGGCTAAGTAGAATTCACAGGACACACGTATTTGAGGCCCATGGGTGCCATAAAAGGAGAAGTCACACTGTATCAGTAAGCTCAGAGAATTAAATGGTAAGTTACGTGCTACTATTGCTACTTAATCCCACCTGTTTCTTAAGAAGAACAGTGTCCTCTCAATTCAGAGTGAGCTTCATCTATGGACCACATGTATTCTGTTCCCTTGGAAGAACTGTTGCGTTGAGTCCTAGCTTTATGCCATGTTGTAAGCAGGTTTGCTTAAAATTCTCCTCCTTTCAGTCTAGTTCTGTAGTGCAAGTGTAGTGTGTATAGAGCCACTCAGGGATATATTAAAACAAAAATGTTTTGACAGCTGTATTTTTAAGAAGATTTCATCTCACTGGGATCCACTCTTGCCATTTTGTAGCCCAGCAAGATAATGCCTTCATTAATTTTTTATGAGAGCAATTTAAATAAAACCTTTGATGCACTGCTGAGATTTATAAAAAAAAAAAAGGTGTGTTTCAGCTCTGCCTGTTGATAGTAGCACTCAAAAAATGGTTAGACAAGTAATGGAGCACTTGGAAAACATCCATTCTGTTTCAGAGGAAGCTCACCAAACCAACAATGATCTGTCCTGGGTTTTTCCTCAGGCCTCCTATGCTCTGAAATACAAGCTCTCTGGAAACTCATTTCAGGCCACACTTTCTTTTAGTTCTCTTGAAAGTTCCCTTCTTCTCATTAGCTTCCCTAAGTGAATCCATGCTGTATTTGTAATGACAGTGTTTTTTTAAATTTTGGTCCATAAGCCTTGTGAGGAAGATCTGTGACCTTTGTGTCATTCAGACATGAATTATTGCTAAACTATTGCATAGGTGCATGCAATCCCAAACAGGACAGTCCTGCAGTATGTTCTTTGGCAGAAAGAGCTTATGCTAAAGTCTTGTAGGAATGATCAGGTGACTAGAATCAACATTAGAACAAACATTCTTTGTTATGTACTGATTAATCATGCTACAATAAATAGCACAGTAGAAAAACCCTAATAGCAGTAATAAATAGCCAGAAGGGCCATTCAGAACATCTGATCAGCTTAATTTGGTGCTGTAACTAAGCAGCAAGATCTGGCTTCTCCCCAAGGGATGGAGTGGAGGGCAGTAATGCATCACAGAGCCACAGTTTGGAAGGGTCCTTTAGAAGTCATCCTGTCCAACACTCATGCTCAAACAGGGCCACCTAGCACCAGTTTCCCAGGACAATGACAAGAGAGCTACTCAGTACCTTCACAACCTCTTTAAATTTGTGTAAATTTAAGTTTTAAATTTCACCCTCACAATAAAAGCAGCAGTACTTGATGTTCAGATGGAGCCTCCCATGTTTCAGTTTCTGCCCGTTGCCTCTCACCTCATCACTAGGTACCACTGACAAGAGCCCAATTTCTTCTTTACACGTTGTCCTCAGGTTTTTTTATGTACAGTGAGATTCTGCCTTGCCATACCCATTGGGTTTTCTCTTCTCTAGGCTGAAAGAGCCCCAGCTCTCTTAGCCTTTCCACATAGTTACACCAGTTCCTTCATCATTTTGTGGCCCATTACTGGCCACCAAAGCTGTGCTTCCAAGCAATCAAAGCTGCCACAGAGCAGCTATTTGGGCACCCTGTGGCCCATTACTGGGCTCTTTCCAGTAATTCCATGTTTCTCTCATACTGGGGAGTCCAGAACTGTACACAGTACTCCAGTTGTGACCTCACCAGTGCTGAGCAGAAGGGACAGATCCCTCCCACAGCCTGCTAGCATCACTTCTCTTCATGCCACCCTCTGTACTAATGATTTTTTTTTTTTTTTTTTTTTTTTACAGCAAAGACCAATTGCAGGTCACAGTCAATTTGGCATCCATGTTGACACATGATTGGGATCCCAAATCCTTTTCTAGAAGGCTGCTTTGCAGCCAATTAGCCCCCAGAATATTCTGGGGCATCAAATTATTCCTCTCCAGGTGTATTACTTTGCATTTCCCCTTGCTTGAGCTTCATGATGTTCCTGCCAACTCATTTCTCCCTCTGGATGGCAGCACAACCCTCTGGTGTATCATTTAGTTACAGTACCTGAGCAAGGCAGTCAGGGCAGGCACACAAGTCACAGTCAGAATCTACTAGACATCCAGATGATAGAGCAAAACAGATACAATGAAGCAAGTGCAAAGTAAACTTAGGAAGCCAGTCAGCAGGTTGAGGTCTGGGTCAATAGTGGCTGTGGCCAGAGGCAAACATTCTGCTGTTGTAGCTCAGGAAAGGGATACAGGTCCACAGCTGAGCTTGATGTGTGTTCTGAGGCCCAAAGGCAGTAGACATGGGATAGAGGTTTGAGATGTAGCTGGTCAAGGCCATTAAAACTTATGAATGCACTCAAGGCCCTGACACCTGCCCAAACTCTTAATTTCTTCTCTAAATCACTTCTTCTATCAATACAGCTCCCATAACTAACTATTATGGCTCAATTTATTTGTACTAAGTGTAGACTTCATGCTTGATATAATAAGCAGCATCTATTTTAGAGACTATTGATCACCTCTTTTTAATTCTCAATTGTATGCCATGCTAAATGTCATTGCTTTCCATCACTTACTTTTTTTCTGTCACCCCGCTGAACTTTTTCCAGCAGAAGAATTTCCCTCAATCTGGCTGTATGGTATGAAATAGAGGCATATAGCTGCCTCTGACCAGTTTTAGATAGCCCAAGAGAAGTATTAGCTTCCAAAAATAAAGAATAGCTTACCCCATTCTGAAGACAAGGGCAAAACTCCCAGAAGGAAGCAGCCTCCAAGCAAAGATGTTTTTCCTCATGGCTGCCAGCCCTTAAATGAGGTTCTGGTCACATAAATGAATTGCTTGCACCTGTACTCCCAGTGCTGGCCCACCCCTTAACCAGGTGCTCAGTCACCAGTTCAGGCTGTGACCTAGCAGTTCACTTGCCTTGAATGCAGGAAATAAAAGTCTTTTGGAGATGGGTATGGAACATGCCAACATAATTACATTTTCTTCTCTCAGGCTCACATAACAAGAAGTTATTCTCCAGCCAGTACATTGCTGTGCAGTGTGTCATAGTTCCACATTCTTGATCTTTAGCACATTCTTGTAGTGCCAAAAATTAAAAATTTAGGGATGATTTTTGAGGAACTGACACCTTTTAAAATAAGGCTGACTCATCCTTTTAAAGTATTGAGTCTCAGTAGGTTACCCAGGGTCTCTATTTTCATTGAAGAGAGGAAGTCACTCAGAGCAGGATTTTTGCATTCATTTGCAACCCTCATTTTCCAATAGGCAGTGCTGTTTCCCACACTAAAGCCCTTGCACTGTGCTGGTTCTTCTGCCTATTATCACTGCAAAATGAGAAGCCACTGATTAGACCACTGTGACTTCTTCCTTCTTCAGTGCCTTTTCTGTCAGCACGGAGGACCTTTAGGGGATGGAAGCAGTGTCATGGATGCTGGGGAAGCCCTGCCTTGTGGCCTCAGTGTCAATCTAATGTTAGCAGGACTTGTTAGAGGGAACTGGCACCAAGTCTTAATGTATACTCAACATCAGGGATTATGTGTCATTTTAGCAGGCGCACTTGATAGATGGCATTGCTGACGACTTGGCAACTGTTCCTTTGAATCCTGGCCTCCCATCAGCTGCCTTTAACTGCATTTTGCTCACTGAATAACTGATAAGCAGGTAGCACCCAGCTGTGTGGGTTCCCACCTGCTCTTGGCCGAGCTGTGCTAGGCTGACTTTAGCCTACCTTACTTGCTTCTGCTTCTGGACTCTTGGCATCCATCTCTTTCCACTTACTCTCATTCCTTGTCACCCAGAAAAAGAATTCATCTCTATCCCTTCTGCAGTCTTTCCATCTCTCCTTGCTTGCTTTGAGCATCACATTAATTCTGCTTGAAGTTAATACCCAGAAACAAAGAAGCAGCTCCAGTCAGAATCAGTCCACCACCACCAATTGCTCATTGTTATTTTTAACATGGGAAATGAGATCATCTTTGCATGTTCTTACCAATCTATAAAGTATTGTTTCCAATTCCTGTCATTTTAAAGTTCAAATACTCATTATAGTTCAGATTACTTTCCACTGATACGTGTTTCTCTGGCATGTGTGACTCTACATAAGTTTATACGTATTTTGAGTTCATTTTGAAACTTGTTTTTAAAATCCTTCAATTAATTTTGCACAATCATTCATATTCTCAGTACCTCATGTGATAGATCAGTAATTAACAAGAGCTATTCAATCAGCTTTCCCAACAAACCAATTTGCCATATCCGCGTTTGGCCTTAACTTTTGTGAGTTTAAGCATAGCTTTATGTCTGTGTCAAATCTACAGTGCACAGTGAAAGACCAGAGGCAAAAGGGGTAGGCACTATTATTTTCCTGAAGTGGATTTCAGTTTTGAAATGCTTTGGGCATTCCTGATACAACTCTGAAAACAATTCCTTGAGTGAAAAACAAGTATTAGGATGGGTTTTTTTGTTGTTTTTTTTTTGTTTGTTTGTTTGTTTTTGTAACAATTTGGGGACATTAAGAGCCCTATTGAGGAAGAAAATGAAATATACAGTAGAAGTCCTGGAGTAGTTCTGTCTATTAGCCATGCAATCTGAATGGAGCATGCAACATTTCCCTTTCTCTTTCTCCTTCTAAACATGCAAGACCCAATGATTCCCCACCATTTTTTACTGCTCTAACATATTTTTCCCCATGATCATGAATCTCTATAAAATTGAAAGGGAAGTCCTCAGAAATGCTTCTTTCCCTGCTAAATAGCCAGATATCTCTTAGGCTTTATAGCCCAATTTTAGAAAATATTTCCAGGGGAGTCATGCTGTGCAAGCTCTAATGTAACAAAACCCTTGGGGCTTTCATTACTCTCTCTGCCAGCTTCATTAAACATCATTTCATACAGGCCACTGAAGAGTTATGTAGTAAGTTGAGAGACAGCTTTTCTAGGTCAGAAACAAGCTTGGCAAGCTCGTGTCTTGTCTATAAGCCTACTCCTGTGGCCTAGAAAGTGCAGGACTACAGGCATGTATGCCTGTCTGTCAAGGGATGATGAAAACCTAGGTGGGAATAGTACATGTTAACAAAAGCATACAGCTGAATCAGCTACTGCCACCAGAATGGAAAGCTGGAAAACCACTGCTCATGGAAGAGTTTTGATTTAGGAAGAAACAGCGTGTTCACATTGTGAAAGAACTGCTGAGATTTCAGTCATGAAACTGAAGCCGAGAGGAAGGGGAGTTACTAATGCCCAGAATGTGGGTCTTTTTAATAGAGGTTGGAAATTCTAAGGAGAAACCCCAGGTGCCCCCCCTGGAAAGGAATAAATGAATTGAGGAAACCATGAAGAACCAAATGCAGAACTGCAAGCCCTTCACTATGTTGTCTAAAGAGAGCCCTGGAGATGGGGCTGGGCTTGGGTATATGTGAGGTGGTGAGAGACACTGCCACACTGAGAAGAAAGCAGTCTTTGTAGCTCAACAAAGACAGGGAGAAAGTTGGCTCTAGCACTCTGCTGCCACATCCACGCCTCTGAGAACAAAGCAAAGTGGGAGGAAGTATTTGTGTTTGTTTGCTTTTCAGTCAGCAAACCACAGACAATTAAATATTAAGAAATGATTCATGTGATATGACTTTTATTTTCAAATTAATTTTTAGCAGTGTCTGATAATGAGGTAACAGATCTAATTTCCCATAAAGGAACTTCAGCATTTGCTTGAGAATGAAATTGTTTATGAGCAAGCTTCCAGATAGTGGTATCTATAAGAGCTATGTTCTTAAAGCTAAGCAGGGAATGTTCTATAAGAACTGTGTTCTTAAAGCTAAGCAGGGAATGTTTGAAATGCCTTCTGTGTACAAAAGTTTAGCATGGACAAAACTGAAACAAGGGTGTGTGGCTTGCAGGAAGAATACACTACCTCATTTGACCTTCATTGTTGGAAGTTGTTTAACTGATGACATAATTTCAGCTCTTCTCTGTAAAGCTGCTTTAGACAAAAATTTTAATCCCTTTGTTTCAGTTTATTTGTTTAGCTGAATTTAATTTGTAAACCAAGGATTAAAAAAAAAATCATTTTTACAGAATTATAACAAACCTGGCCTGTGCGTAGTTGTTCCTTTATTTAGGATATTAATAATCCTCCCATTTGAATGCTTTGCACTTTTAAAGCTGGTAGAATTGTGCTGGCTTTCTCACTAGTTTGCAATAGCTCCATCCACAAAGCCTCCATCATGGGAGAACAGAATAAGTAGCGTGAGCTGGGTATCATAGGAAAGTGTAAGCATGCAGCTTCACTTAATGTAACAGAGGGCAGAGCCAAGGGAAGGGCTCAAAAGGAGGGAAAGTATCAAGGCAGTAATCTCAGCAATGTTATTTCTTAGGGTATGAGCTGGTCATAGCACGTTTGTGGATCTCAGAGGAAAAAAAATACAGCTTAAATGGATGATCGGTTGTGGGGATTCTGGACAAGAGTATGGTTGCTCAAGGAAGGCTGTATCTTTAGTAATCCTCAAAAGTTAGGAATGGCCCTTATCAGAGGACTTGGATTGCCCCCAATTGGCAGAGATGAACAATATGAAGTGTGAACAGCGAGCAAAAGGCTGCTGTTGTTCCAGGGTAAGAACAATGTTAGTTCCATGCCTGAACTGGTGATAAGAGATATAGGAGACATGAAAGTCACTATGAGATTCTTCTGAGATGCTTTAAAGAAAGAGCAGCTGAATTTGTGTTCACATGAAAGATTACGCAATGAAGTGCAGAGTGAGACAAACAGGAAGCTTGCAAGGAAGAGGAAGAAACCAATTGTCTGAGCTTTCCTGGTGTCAAAATATCTGTGTGGGATGTCTTTGTTTGCAGAGATGTTCATCTATGAACGCCCATGAAGGTAGCAAAAGGACCAGAGAGGCACTGGTATCTCAGGGTGAAGCTGCCGGAAACAGGGTTGACCTCCTGTCTTCACTCTCCAAGTTCTAACTATTAAGTGATGCTGGTTTCCATAGGGATAAAACTTTGCAAGGACAAGACATGAATCACGTGGTCCACATGCACCAGTGTGAATCCCATTGGTATTTTGTAATCTTGAGAAGACACCAGTTTGCCTTTATGCTATTTCTCTTCAGACTTTTATGCTCCCTTAAAGAGAGACTTCACCTTCCTTTTTCTGAGTCTTCAGTTCTTTCTTTCTGCCTGTGCATTTTGCTTAAGCTTCCACTTTTTATCTTCGAGATACCAAAGGAAGTGCTGCTGTCAAATGACTGATTGTAACATTTTCTATTCATAGTTTCTGATTCTATCTCACTTTTATCTCCAGGGCTGGGAACAATGGGCCGAGGCATTGTGACTTCTCTGGTTAAGGCCAAGATACCTGTGGTAGCCCTGGAGCAGGATCTGGAGTATCTGAACACAGGAAGAAAAGCCGTGATGCTCCTTTTGGAACATGAGGCTATGAAAATGGAGCAGGGTGCCCAAACCCTGGATTTCCATAACCCTGCACGACTCCAGTTCACTGTGGACTTTGATGTTTTGCGGGATGTAGATCTAGTTATTGAAGCTGTGTTTGAGAACATGGCACTAAAGAAGGAAATATTCAACAAGCTATCGAGAATCTGCAAGCCGGAGGCTTTTCTGTGTACAAACACATCAGCCCTGAATATCGATGAAATAGCTTCTGTCACCAGCCGCCCACAGCAGGTCATTGGCACGCACTTCTTCTCCCCTGCTCATGTGATGAGGCTGTTAGAAATAATCTATGGCCGTCACACATCCCCCACCACCACTGCCACAGCCATGCAGCTAGCCAAAGTGATGAAGAAAGTTGGAGTGGTGGTAGGGAACTGTTTTGGGTTTGTTGGGAACCGAATGATGTTTCCGTATTTACAACAGGCAATTTTCCTCTTAGAGGAAGGAAGCAGACCAGAAGACGTAGATCAGGTTCTTGAAGATTTTGGGTTTAAGATAGGGCCTTTCCGAATGTCTGATCTTGCTGGGCTGGATGTGGGCTGGAGGTCTCGAAAGGACCAGGGCCTCACTGGCCCCTCAGTGGCTCCAGGAACACCCGCCCGCCAGCGGCATGGCTATCGCTACAGCCCGCTGCCTGACCTTCTGTGTGAGAAAGGCAGGTTTGGCCAGAAGACTGGAAAAGGCTGGTATCAGTACGAGAAGGCTGGGGGTAGGACAGCCAAACCAGACCCATGGATTCACAGCTTTCTGTCTGAGTACAGGGACACCCATCAAATCAAAACTCGCTTTATAGACCAGGAGGAAATCCTGGAGCGTTGCTTGTTTACTCTTATCAATGAAGGATTTGACATCCTGGCTGAGGGAATAGCGTCAGGCCCAGAACATCTTGATGTAGTTTATATCAATGGTTATGGATGGCCGAAGCACAGGGGTGGCCCCATGTTCTACGCTTCCACTGTTGGGCTCCCTAACATTCTGGCTAAGCTGCAGAAATACTCTGAGATCCACCCTGATGTTCCCCAGCTACGTCCCAGTGCCTTTCTGAAAAAGTTGGTGGCTATGGGGAACCCTCCTCTCAATGACTGGATGTCCTACCTACACAGGCAGAGCAACAAGCTGTGATTTCACTGATACCTGCTATAGAAATTCCTTGGAGGCTGATCTCATGAAACAGCTGCTGTAATTGCACTATCTTTTCCAATCAAAAACAAAGTGCTATAGGCTTATAAACAATGTCAGGTACCTTCCTAGGTGAGATTGATCTCTGTCCCACCTTGCTGCAGGCAGCCACTGCCATCACCCACCCTTCCCTCTTGCCACCTGCCTCACCCACCTTCTTTGCACATTGCTGCGTACAGATGCATTTCATTCTCCTCTGTACTTAGGTCTTCAGAGCGGTGCATCTCTCCCAGTCTTTCTTTGATGAAGGGACAGAGCAGCACCTGGCCCTCAAAGCAAATCACAGTGGGAGGTGAGAGCAAGATGGTCACAATTCACCCAAGACCAGCTGGACCTTCCAGATCCTGGCCTAAGTCTGTTTTCCAGTTTGTTCAGACCTTCCTTCTCCCTGCAGTGCAATGTCCTGTACCCCAGATTACTTGGCAGTCCCAAATGCAGCCAGTTGGAGCCTGCTCCCTTCACACTGCTAGGGAAGAGTTGGCACATTTCAGAGGCAAATTCAAAGGAATTGGTGAGAGCAGCTTTGGAGAGAGAGCAAGGGGCAGGGCTGGTACTGTCACCTGCTCCCTGCTGCAGAAGAAAATTCTAATAAGTGACACAAAAGCCACACATGCATCAACCTTACTAACCTGCACTATGCTGTTGGCTCATGACTGGCATTCTGCATCTAGACTCCATCCTCCTTTATCATCCACCTGGCTTTGTCCAGGCAGAAACATCTTCTGGCATCTCTAAGAGTGGATTTGCACTGCTGTCACTCCCCCTATCTTGCCTGCCTGTGGCTACCTAATTGATCTAATTGACCAGACTGAAACCTGGCCTGGCACTTACCAGGTTTTCCCTTGCTGAGAGAGCAGGGCTCAAGAGCTGGGCAAGCAGACTTCCAGCAGAGAGTAGAGCAGGAGTGAGCCAGACCTCTTCCATGCTTTGGACAAAGTCACCTATTGCTCGTGACTAGGTTGGTGTTCTCAGGAAGATTAACACTGAATGTCTGATTGTTGCTTTCTATTTTAATAAAACCATTTTGATTATCTAATGACAGATTATTGGGTAGCATACAGGATAGCAGAAGATGGAAAATGTGTTTGTTCTTTATACCTCCGTAGCTTCTTTATGTGGCAGAACTCACTACACTGTCTGTTTATGAAGGAGTTCATGTTGGAAGTGGTTGCATGCTTGTTTTTCTAAACATAGCTTCTTTTTTTCACTTCTGCCCTTCTGTGGACGAGAGTGCAAAGCTGGGGTCATGAAACCCTCCAGAAGCCAGAACCTATTTCCTTGTTCAGGGGAGGATTTTCCTCCGGGACCAGCAAAACTGCTGCAGTTCTCCCCCCATCACTTGCATGTCACAGCTGAGTGCAATCCAGCATTTGCTCAAAGGTGAAGCACTGCTTCCACGCGAGCGGGCTCCGCGTGACGTGTTACACAACAGCACTGCTGCTGCTGGCGGCTGTCACGTCACTCAGCAGGACAGCTCTGGACACGCCGTGCTGTACACTCTCCTGGGCCTCCTGCCATGGGGTTCACCCGTATCGGAGATGGGTTGGAGAAGGACATTCCCCTTGCAGCGGGAGTGGGGTGAGGAGGGGTGGGGATGCCCTTTGTCTGCCTCAGAGATGGTAGTTTCTGGATATCAAGCCCCCACCAACATCAAACTTGTGGCCAAAACATCTCACCTAAGTGCTTTTGTACATCTGACGTGCCCAGCCCCCTTCTCATCTCCCCTCAAGGAAATTACTGAGAACAGAGGCCGTTCGCACTAATAATGACTACCGACAGAAGTTCATTTGTGCATTCCTATTGACCAAAGCAGCGCAGCATTGATTGCCATGTTCCAGCCAGCAAAGTGAAACTGCCAGTGCTCAGGGTGAGCTGCGGCTCTGAGGGCAGGCACCAGGATCCTGCAGTCGGCAGGAGCACGTGAGAGTCCTGGGCCCTCCTGCTCCTCTGCGGGAGGGTGAGAGCATGTCTGGAAGGAAGCACAGCCAGAGCCCCAGCACCACGACCTGAGCTTTAACCCCTTGGAATGGGGTTCATTTTCCCTGCTGTCTTTTTAAACTACCTGACTATTTTCATTCAGTGAGAAAATACGTATTGAAAATGTTTTCCAGGTGAAACTGTTCTTGCTAATGAGTATCAGGGAGTACAGAAGTGTCCCAGGCTCTGCTTGCTTGTCACACATCTGACCCAGATCAGCGTGAGCTGAGACTGCAGGTATCCAGCACTGATACCCACACTGCGAGCCAGCTCTAGTCCATCCCTCATCTTTGGGCTCTCCTTCTTTCACATGTGATGTCTGGCTGCAGATCCCATACTTATTGCACAGCACTGTTGAGGATATTCTGTTTCAGCCCTCCAAGTACCCCATTCTCTCACATGCAGCTGGAGAATTGTTAGATGTCTTTAATTAAGCCAGTGAACTCTACCAGTACAGCAGATGCCTCCATTAACTGTTCAGCCACAGGCATTTTGCAAAACAGTAAAGAATGGGAGTGCAGCAAAGGAGAGACCTGCTTTAGCTTTGATCAGCATCCCCTGCAGCACAGGGCCTTCAAAGGGAGGCAGAGAGCTCCCTGCCCTATTGCATGCACAGCAGCATGTGTTCAAAATGAACGGGGCACTCCAGCCTTGCCAAACACACTCCCATTTCTGGATCACGTAATTCACCTTCTCTGGTTGTGTTTCTTTCTAACAGAAAACAGTCTTGCAGGCCAAGCTGGGTGTGAGAGCAGCTCTGGAGGTGAGATGAGAAGGCTTGGTGCCAGCAGCAGAAGCGCAGGCAGTTCTCCTTGCAGCCTGGCTCTCACAGGAGCTGAGTTGCATTTCCTGTTTGCTGCTGGCAAGCTCCAGGGAACAGGAATTTTTAGGATGTTCTTTATAAACCAGCAGGACAGTGTCAAAGAAATACCTGATTCTGCAGTCAGTTTTTCTTCTGTTTGCAAACAGCTGTGCAATTTCCTGAATGTTCGCTGAATTCGGTGAGATTTTGGCAAAACAAAGGCTGCCAAGCCTTGAGAGGCCATTCAGACAGGTCTCTTTCCACTGCCATTAACCCTGGAGGCATTTAAATCCAACTGGCCCACACAGAGCCCTCAGAACCAATGACCTGTGCTTAGGAAGGCTCAGAGCAGCTGGGCACCCACCTCCTGCACAATCAGGCTGAGTTTGATGGTGTGAACCTCCCTGTCACCCTCTGCCAGCTCCAGTTTGGCCCCAGCAATCACAGGCAGCCCTAAAGGGAGGACAGCAGAAACGTTATGAGACTTCTTGGGACCACAGCAAGGCAGGAGGAGAGGGCTGTGGTCAGCACTACCCATCAGGGGCCATCATCACAGCTGCTTCAAAGCCTCAACGTCTCTGCTCCGCAGGTATGAGCCACGTTCCATGGTTTTCAGCACAGCACTGGGACACCTCTGGGACCTACCCCAAGGACAGACCCCTGAGGAACTATGGGGTTATTTTGGAGAAAGCAGTTGAGTATTGTTTGACTAAGAGCTGGTGGGTATTGCACAAAGATGAGAGAAATAGGGGCTTCCTATTCTAGCAGAAGGCTGACTTCAGCCCTCCTCGTACCGACCAGAGGGACAATAAAAGCACTGTTTCATTTCCAACTTGACAGGGAAGCCAGAGTACCACTGCTCTTATGAAGCCAAACAGCTCAGCCACCGATAAACAGCCAGCTTTCATTTCGATCTAAAGTTGTGCACGTTCGCACTTCCACATCTTTATTAACCAAAATTATACTACAACCTCTTATCCCACCGCTGTCACCCGGGAGCAGAGGCCGACCCCCACCTCGCCACAACCTCCTCTCAAAGAGTTGCAGAGAGCGATGAGGTCTCCCCCGATCCTCCTTTTCTGCAGCCCGACCCACCCCAGCTCGCTCAGCCCGACCCTTTCCAGCTTCCTCGCCCTTCTCTGGACACGCTCCGGGGCCACCGCCGGCTGCGGTGCTGCGGTCGGGGCCGCTCGCAGCGCTCCCCACGTGCGCGCTGCCGGCACTGCAGCACCTCAGCGCGGCCGAGTCCCGCCGTCCGCCGAGCCCCCGCCCCGCACAAGGACACCTGTGCCGTGCCGTGCCCGGCGTCGGACCGCCACTCTCGGCCCTCTGGAGCGCCGGGCGGTGCCGAAAGGCTGCGGGGGAACGGCGGCGGCCGCGCTCCGGAGCCGGGGCGGGGCGGGGCGGAGCCGTCGGGGCGGGCGGCCGGGCCTTGCCCGCGGCGCTGCCCCCCGCGGCGCTGGGCGGGCGGGCGGTCCCCGCTGCGGCTCGGCGCCTTTTCCTCCTCCTCCTCATCTCCTCCTCCTCCTCCTCCTCCTGGCCGCTGCGGCGCGGGGGCTGCGGGCGGAGCGGCGGCGCCATGAGCGGGGCGGCGGCGGCGGCCAAGAGCGAGAAGCTGGACGAGGCTCAGGCGCTGGCCCGCAGCTGCGCGGGCAGACCCGACTTCCAGCCGTGCGACGGGCTCTCGCTCTGCGCCACGCACAGCCACGGCCGCTGCTTCCGCCTGCACTGGTGCTGCCACCTGGGATGGTGCCACTGTGAGTGAGCGAGCGCGCGGTCCCGGCGGTCCGGACGATCGTAGCGGCTCAGCGCTGCGCGGCGGCCGCCGCCCCGTCCCGTCCCGCCCCGTCCCGGGGGCCGCGGGCTGAGGGCTGCGGTGCGGAGCGGTGGGAGCTGCGGGTTCGGCTCCTGCAGCGGCGCGGGGCGCGGGGAGAGAGCCGTTCGCGGCGCTGGCAGCTGCCTCTGCACCGCGCTTCTTCCTCGTGAGGTTGTCCTTGGGGTGGGAGGATGCGATTCGCACGGCATCCTTCGTGAGTCTGCTGCTGTTTTGCGGGAATATGCGACTTGCGTGAGGTAGGGCGGGTTGCCGCTGCTCCGACATCCAGTGCCGGGCCAACTGTGTGGAAAAGCAGCCGGACAACTTTAATGTCTGCCCTCCAGATGTGTGTGATCATGGAGGCTGGGGCTGGCCGGGCACGGGGTGATGAATAATTAATCGCTGCTCTCCTCGAGGAGCGGGCTTGGCCAGCAGCGTGGCTGCAGGAGGTGGGGATTGGGGCCCGGGGCTCGTAGCCGGGTCTGCAGTGCTTTGAGCCCAGCTGGCGGCTTTGGAGTGAAGCTCTGCGAGGGCTGGAAGTGCTGGAGATGTCCCTTGGCTCCTGGCATCCTGCTCTCCTTCTGTCAGCATCTCCCTTTGGAGCTGGAAACATGGATCCCAGATTTGGCTTAATGGGGAGAAGGGTCTGCCTAAAAGGATGCTTCTTATTTGGATGGGAGCTTCTCTTCTAATTCAATGCACGCTTTAGAATGTCACCCTGATTTAGGGTCCAGGTCGAAACAACTGTGTTTTCTGCCAGTGCCCTGATGTGAGCAGCACATGGTGACAGCAGGCACTGTGGTGGGATGGCACGTTTACCTGTTGCACAGGGATGCCATGCCTTGGTAGTGACCTTGCACCTGTGAGACAGTGGCCCTCAAGTTGTGACCCAGACGTGTTCTTCTTTTCCACAATTTCTGTGGCTTTGGTTCTTTGTGCTTGTGAGCACTCTGGAGGATGGGATCTGAGCTCAAAATGGTGTTTGCAAACTGGAGATGCTGTCTGATATCTGCTGGGGATGGTCTTGGGAAAGGGAGAGCCAGGTGCAGAGCTGGAGCATGGAGGAGTGACAGTGCAGTGAGGGATCTGGGGATTAAGATGGATCACGGACTGAATATGCGTCATCAGCAGGAGGCCTTTGTGGTAGAAAATCCAAAAACAGAACCCAAGCCTTCACTTCACTGGGGATGCATTAGCTGGAGCATTGCAAGCATGCAATTTAATTAGTCTCTCCAGCTCAGTAATGATGAAACCAGGCTGATGGGTTTAGTTTGGAGCGTTGCGCTGCCAGAAGGCTGCAGAAGTGGGGATGTTCTGTAGGAGGCCATGGTGATCAGTGCAGAAAAGATTTACAGAAGCAAAGTAGTTGCTTGGACTGTGAAAGAACCGAGCGAGGGAGGGGAGATGAGCTTTGTGAAGCCTGGAAAAGAAAGCTGTGTTCTTGGAAGATCACCAATTGTCACTTATCTGTAGGAAAACTTCAGGTTTGGGTATTAGAAAACATTGTTTAAGTAGGAAGAAAAATGAAGTGAGGGAGCAGAATAAAAAGGTGAGCAATCGTGTCCATTGAAGGCCTTAAGGAGGGCTTAGACTGATGTGTCTTCTGAGTGACACAGAGCTGATTCCCTCCTGAAGGACGTTTCCTTGAGATGCCACCCAACCCTTAATCTCCCTCCAGCAGCCATAAGAATTAAAAATAATCATAACTTTTGTAAGAAGTACAAACTTTTTTTCTTAATTTCTCTCTGTACGACTGAGGAAGCTTTGAAATGGCTTTGTCCCACGGAACTGTAATTTTCAATGAAAGAAGTCACATACCTCATTTTCCTGTTTAATTTGAGAGCTAGGAAAAAGAGTGCTGCCTTCTTGCTCCTTATTTCCTAATGCAAATTCTAGAGCCGAGCATCTCTTTGTATCTTGCTCTTGCAGATTGACTGGAGTTGGACTTAAAAGGGGTAAGAATGAGTGCTATAATGGAGAATTATATAGAGGTCAGAGATGTAATTAAACAGTATCGGAAGTTATCTTCCATAAACACAGTGCTGTAATACTGCCTTAGGAATCCTCAGAGGGTTCTTGCAAGTGCTTTGCTGCGACTCTTAAGAGCTGCGTTGAGGTACAGGAAGCACTGTGTCAATTAAAATGGCCCTTGAAGTGTTATTTTCCATTGGTGTCCAAGGTGCTGGAGAATGTCAGCTCCGTTAAAGTGCACAAGTGCACTTACACTGAAAAATGACAAGAGCTCACCTCCGCCAGGATCAGTAGATTGTCTCCTCATGTGTATTCAGGATCACATCTGCTTACTTCAGTGACAGAAGCAATTTAGCACTGCAGAGT